ACGTGCAAAAGTTGATAAATCTGTATGCACAAATTGGCAATATTATCAGAAAATAAATCTTAATGTAATTTAATTTAACTTAAGTAAAAGTCTGTTGTGAAAAGTTCAGTGAATTTAACTTGAGAGTCTTGAAAATAAAAATAGAACTCACTGGGATTGAGATGTTTCTCCGATGATCCCCCGCAGAAGGCGGAGCACTTCTTCATTTTTGAGACATTCCTGTAATTCTTTGATTAATGACACTAATCGGTGAGCAAGTTTAGGCGTCGAATTTGATGTTGTTCGAGGGCTTCTTCTGCTGGGGCTGGTCTCGCACCCAGTATAGTTGGCTGTGTGGCTTTTGTAACAATTACAGCATTTTGGAGGTGTAGTTCTGTCTTTGTTGCATTCATGTGACCTGTGGTTTTCAGCACATTTTACACACCTTGCAGGTGCATTGCAGTGGCTTTGTGTATGTCCATAATTTTGGCAGTTGTAACATTGTATAGGTCCTCGACCTCCTCGAAATCGTTCGATTTTGATCGGGATCTGCTGTATGTTGTTGACTTCGAATACTCTTTGGTGATTCGCCGTTGATGTTAGGATTATGAGAAAAAGTGGAAGGAGCCGACAGGCCTCTCCCATTCTTTTCTTAAACTGCACAATTTTAAAGGTTTCAATACTGTTTTTCTGTAATTCTGTATTGATGGCATCTGTATCAAAGTCCACAGGCAGGCCCCGGACCAAAACCTTAATATATCTGGCTTGCAGTGTTATTTCAGGTTTGCTGGGCGGATCCCGTACTTTGTCGGTATCCTCCTTAGGTTTTGTTGTCGGCAAGATAGTGACGTCATCTGTTGAATTATGTTGGCTAGAAGAAGGACAGCTGTTTGCAGATATGAGTGTAGAATTATCTTCAATTGTTTTGATTGCATTTTGCTTTTTCTTCTTCTTTTTTCTTTTCTTTGCTGGTGGTTCCGTATTATTGTTAATATTGATGTCCGTGTCAGTTTTTGTATTTGGTGTTGAATTCAGGTTTTCATCTTTATTTTCCACGGTCATGTCTTCAGTGCTTGGATTAGTTTCAGTCATTATTGATTCGACTTGAATAGATTTTTTATTCATCTCCTTGTTTTCTTCCACTTGAAAGTTCTTCCTCTTCCATCTGACATGATAAGCTGCATTTGTCTGTTTTAGGAAGTATGAGTATCCATAGTCTCCAGGATAACTTGATCTTATTTGAATGAGCAGTTTGCTAAGTAATTTATCTAAGCGAATCAGCTCCTCTGTATCAAACTGATTGAAAAACTCTACAAGATCGTCAATATGTTCATATTGAATTAGTAGAATATATCATTTTGAAAACCCACAGGTAGCAATGATTTCTTCTAATGAGGTGGATTCTTTGCAATGCGACGGTGAATTACAATCAGATAGTGAGACCTTTCCTCCACGAGCTGTTTTATGATACGGCATGACTTGAAAAAAAAAAATGGCTGGCTCAAAATCCAGACATGAAAATGGTCAGTTGTCAGTATTGTCTCTCCTGACTCAGGAACCTGACGAGATCAAAATCTGTATCACTCACCTTGTAATGTTCAGGATAATCAGCATCGCAAGGGAGAAGAGGATATCAGTAGAGCATGACCAGCATCAGTAATCGAGGTCGAAAACCCAGATAGCCAGAGACTGACATAACTATAATAAAACGATGAATCATATAAACCTACGAATTATTTAAAAAATAGCGGTAGATAAAAATCTACTAAATTAAATCTATTAAACTAAAAATCACAATTCCTAAACTACCGCTAGAAAATGCTTATTCGCTGTTCGGTGCAAGTTGCATACCTGCCAGCTTCTAATCCTTTCCATTATAATTTTCCCAGTGGTATTAAAATGGAATTAAAACTTCAATTTTAAGCAAACAAATACGTTGTATTTGAGAAAACTTACAACCATGATAGTAACGCATATTCATATATGTGCTCAATTTTTGTAAGAATAGTGGTGATTAAAATCATTTAAAAATTAAAATTATAAAAGAAAAAATAATATATAATCACTACCACTTTAAATATGAAAATAAAATCTTCCGGAAAATCCGGAAGAGTTGGCAGGTATGAAGTTGGCATTTCTGATATTACCAACAAATAATTTATTCCTTTTTAAGCAGAATGTTTATTACCAGTTAATATATTGCAGCGATTTCATTAAATAAATTAGTTTCATTTTATTTAGAGTTTAGGCATGCATCTGTCCGTTATCTAGAATGATCCCATGGATCTTGCAATCTAATAAAAGTTGTACCCCGCTCATTTTTATCATTGTCAGCGAATAAGATTATGATACTGATTCATGCATTTTCATTCAAAAAAAGAATAGTTGGTAGTGGACACGAAATTATTGAAAAATTAATTTTTGTCTCATTTTTACCACCAAATCTTTAAATTTTTATAACACAAGAGAACCTTGTTGATGCTATTATTAACGACACTGTTCCTAGACGTAGGAATATTTAATCCTTTCGCACCGGACGGGACACGTGCTGTCCCAGTCTGCTAAATTTTTGATATTACGGTTGGGACAACATATGTCCCAGTTTCTGAAGAATATCTAGGACAGAAAATAACACCCACTTTGGTCTCCAAACCGAATTCCAACCTACTTGCTCCGGACAGCAAATAAATATTTTCGAGTGGTAGTTTATTAATTGTGATTTTTGTTTTAATAAATTCAATTTATTAGGCCACCACTATTTCTAAATAATTCGAAAGCTTCTTCCTCTGGTGAAGGGTCGAAATGAGTCGAAAAAGAGTTTACCCTGATAACTGACAGCTCGCTTATATTAGTGAGTCTTCTGAAACTGAAAACACTGAAGAGGAGACAGACAATGAAGTCGTTTCATACAATCACAATGATTTGTTTGATGATGAAGAGATGTGCATGGTGCACAAAAATGAAGAAACAGGCATGCTCGAAAATTGTGTGCACCTTTTGCAACGTAGCACTGTGCAAGAACTGTTTCCAGCCCTACCACACCCTCAAGAAACCAAGACTTTAAATACTGTTGTTCCTCCTCTACTTTCAATTTTTTACCTTTCGTATTTTATAACAATTAATTTCGAAAAGTGTTTATAAATAAACATGTTAATAAAAATTCTAAAGCAAATGTACATGAAAATGCTAATAAAAAAAAGCGTTGCCTAGAATAATCATCAAAAGGTTAAGTAAAATGTCAATAAATATGAGTTATTGACTCTAGAATTCCGGCCGGGATATACCCTGTCCCGNACATGAAAATGTTAATAAAAAAAAAACGCTGCCTAGAATAATCATCAAAATGTTAAGTAAAATGTCAATAAATATGAGTTATTGACTCTAGAATTCCGACGGGACATATCCTGTCCCGGGGTTTAAATGCTTTGGGCTTACGGCGGGACATATGTTGTCCCATCAATGAAACTTGTGAAATAATTGTTATTGATGGTGCGCTGTTATGAGGACGTTTAAGCGTCTCCAATATCTTCAACCTTTTAGGCATAAAAGTTATGTTATCTAATAATCGCTTGAAGGAGAAATAACTGATCCCGACAATGGAGCGCACTTGGGCTGATTTTTCGCGGTATTGAAAGGGTTAAAAGGAATGTATAAATCTGCGTCAGGCGTTCTTTATTCAAATAACTTTTCTTTTCCTCTTGTTTGTATTATAGGTTATAAAGTAAACTGGCATCGGAAATTTTTATCACTGAGCTCCTCTGCATTTAAACTTTTAAGAAAATGTCTACAGAAAAAAAATATCTTCTGTAGATTTTAGACGTAGCTTATGAAACTATTTCTAAGTACTGATTGCTCATTTTATTTCGTCATTTTTTTTTAATCGGAGAAACAGTTACGTTTTTTGTTCTACTGATAACATCTGCCTTAAATCCAATAAGTAACATAGCTACCAATATTTTTATGGCAGTATAGCATCAACCATTATCATAGGTCTTTAATTCGTGAAAATCCATGCAAACGAAAACAGTGTGAAACGAAAAATACAAAAAAATTCGTAAAATGCTCTCTAGCTTCATAAACTATTCGTCACAGTTTTTAGGAAAGAATTTTAAGCTGTTAAGGCAAGCAAGCCCTTTATTTACAGAAGCGGCTGGCCAACACCTCCTATAACTGAAAGCCTCCACACGGATTTTTATAGGTAGTCCGATCAGACCATTGTGAAGGATATCCACTTTCCTCTCTCTATGAGGAAAAGTGGTCCATTATAAGAGGGCAAAACAATTTTCGTTTCAAACTTCAAAGCTAATTTAATCAATGAAACATATTTCAACTTTTGCAACATTATATTTGAAATGAATAAAATACAATATGAAAAATTTTGCGTTGCATACTCTATAGATTTTAAAAGTTATAGTAAAATGAAAGCATATTCATTCTGGAAATTATGTTATCTCGTAATGAAGTAGGCGTTACTTTTCCTTATGCTCCTATTACAGTCGAAATTTGATAATTCGAAGGGCAAGGGGCCTCTGCAAAACTTCGAATTATCCGCAAAAATGTTATTTTTATGTCTTAAAATAATCACTCGTAACAGAAATTGCGAAACAAAGACTGTTTATTAATTTTAAATTAAAACGCTACAATTTTTTAAAATATTTAGCTATATCAGATTGCTTTAAAGAGCTAACTTGATATTTTCTAACAAAATCTTCAAGAGTATTTACAGCTCTAAACACAGCTTCACTTACGTCAGATTGTCCTTCTGCATAGCGTCTATATTCTGATAAATGAACGACTGCCTCACTTGAAGTTGGAATTGGCCTCTGTTCTTCTATCTCATCTTCAATATCTTCTTCGTCTTCTGTTGTAATATTCTTATTATTTAGAACTTCAGATAGAATATCTGTATCCGATAACTCTCCACAAATGTCTATGTTTTCATCCATACTGACGTAATCATCGAACGGAATGTTGTTTCCCATGCAACTGGGGGAGGTAAATTTTCTTCATCGAAAAGATCGCTAGGGACAGTGTTCCTGATGAATCCTACCTTCCGAAAGCAATTTGCTATTGTTTTTTGGCTGACTTTGGACCATGCATTTAAACACATTCTTGGAGAATCGAGGAGAGTAATGGGAAGATTCAGTAAGGAGGTGTTGAACGACTAGACATCTGTAGAAATGCTTCAGATTTTTAATGATGCCTTGATCCATTGGTTGCACCACTGATGTCATGTTTGGTGGGGAAAAAACAACCGTGATAATTTCCACAGTGGGTATCAATTTATGAGCAGTGCAGTTATTAATAAACAGGATGATTTTTCTGTTCTTTCTTTGGTATGTACGATTGAGATCTAGTAGCCATGTTTCAAAAATATTCGCCGTCATCCATGCTTTTGTGTTAGAATGGTATTCTATAGGCTTTGATTTGACATTTTTAAAACATCTTGGATTTCTTGATTTTCCAATCATCAATAAAGGTAATTTCTCAGTGCCGTCCATGTTTGCTCCTACAAGTAAGGTTATTCGGTCTTTACTGTTTTTTCCACCACTACATTTTTCACCTTTAAAAGCAAGAGTCTTTGCAGGGGTACATTTGAAAAAAAGTCCAGTCTCATCGACATTAAAAATGTCTCTGTCCTGTGTATACTCAATAATTTCGACAACTTTTTTCCCCACTTATTTGCTGTACCCTGGTTCACACTTGAACTTTCATCTCATACGGACTTGAAAGAAATTCAATTTCTTTTCTTAAATCCGTCTAACCATCTGGAGCTTGCTTTGAAGCTGCTGTTACCTAAACTGATAGCAAATTCTTCCGCTTTTGCACGAACAAGAGTTTCACTGAGAGGGATGTCTTTGTCCCGTGCTTGTTTAAACCACTTTGCAACACACTCGTCCACGTCAGGATAATTAGGCTCTCTAGCTCGCTTGCGATTTCCATTAGATTTCAAAATTCTTTATTTTTCGAAAAAGTCGAAAGAGTGTTAGGCCCTATTCCAAACTCTTTTGCTATGATGCATTTTTTACACCCTTTTCTACTTCTCGAATTTCATCAATTTTTTCATTGAAAGATAAGGTTTTATACGGGACACGGGGCTTGCTAAACGACATGCTTGCATTGAACTATCACTACAAAGCTAAAATCACAATATAGAAAACTCAAGTAATATCGACTACAGTCCTAATTTTTAATGCCGTGATTATACACCAGTTTCCCGGAGTCGGATGCAAGGTGATCTTATGAAAGAAATAAACGCACCACTATTGGAGGAACTCCTGCCAATCAACTGCCCGATAACCTTTGAAGGATGACTCACTTAGACACATACCTGCCAACTTTTACGCATTAGGCGCAAAATTTTATTTTTACATTTAAAGTGGTAGTAAATATATGGACTATTATTTCTTTTGCAAACTTATTTTTAAATGATTTTGATCACCACTATTCTTAAAAAAAACTAAGCATTTATATTAATATGTGCTACAGTCATGGCTTACAGCTTAAGCTTTTTCAAATGCATCGTACTTTTATGCTTAAAATTGGGATTTTAATTCCATTTTAGTACCACTGGGAAAAATCATAATGGAAGGGATAAAAAGTTGGCAGGTATGCTTAGACATAGGCAAGATCATGAAGACTCGCCTAGCCGGTGGCAATTTTTTTCTCCTCCGCTCCGACCAATGACATGTATGCATCCTATCACGTGATTCGAAATACCCTTCCCGTCGTTCACAGATTTTATTTCTATTGGGATTGGCTCTCTTACAGGGAAAGGGTAGGGGACTACCTGTAGCCAAGGACAGGTGCAGGTGGTCTAGGTCCATTTCCTCTTTATTCCTGTTCTGTTTGAGCAGATGAGACTACTCTCCCTCCCCCTTGTCATCCCTAAAAAACTTTCCATAATAGCTGAAAATAACCAGAATACTTTTCAAAAATAACTGCATTTCCATGTAANATGTTAACATGCAATGGAAATGAATGTCATGTTGATTGGAGATGAGCTATAATTTGTTCCTAATAGAAATACTTGTTGTCTCTTAAGATATTTCAGCGTTGTCTCTAATGACGTCTCTTATGATATTCAAAGTATTCTAAGCGTACTGTTTCGATAGATAAATTTCTTGATCTCTGGGCCAATTCCTCAGTTTTGCTCCAGAAATTCTATTTAATTAGACTTGGGACTTGATGATTTTAGTATTGACATTGTCGAGATGAGGTAGACAAGACAGCTGAAATGTTAAGCTTGAATCCCAGGTAGTCTACCATCTGTTGAATCCCTAAATTTTAGCCCACCACTTTAATTTTCTATTTTATTTTATAACGATCGTTGAACAGCCGACACAATTGTTTGGATTTACGACTACTAATGTTCAACTACGTAGCCTTGTAGTTTCAACCTCCCCCCAAAAGACAAGGGAACTCTTGGATTGAGTATTGGGAGAAATTTGAATTCGCGGAGGACTTTTTGATGCAACTAACAAGCCATTAAAACCTTCCAACTCTGACGGAATGGGGACTCTGATGATCTGTTTGCCACTGAAGTTATTTTACGTCAGCATTGTGGTCGGTGTAAGCCGGATGCTGAATTAGTATGCACCAGACAATGCTGGGATTTGAACACGTTTCGCCTCATTGGAAGGCGAATGCTCTGTTCACTGAGCCATTACGGCTGCGTCCACTTT